TTAATTTTTCAATTTACCTGTGCGAAGAACGAGTATACCAGCTAGTATACTATAAAATCCATTGTATAACGCGCACTTTTAAGACAAAAATTAAGATCGAAATTTTCGAGTGCGTGTTATACGTCGAGTATAAAAATGATAGGTTTAAAAATTAAAAAAAAAGAGATGAGTCGAAAAAGTTAGACTACTGAATGTATCGAAAAAAGTTAGACTACTGAATAAACGAAATTACGTATCTTTTGGAACTTAAGGAATTTTAAATTCTAGAAGTGAGACATTTTTTCGAAAGCCTCTTGGATAATACCTCAAATCAATTTTCATTGATCGATATCAGAGGTTTCCAAACTTTTTTGTCCCATAGACCCCTTGCCATATTTTTCGGTTTTGGGTAGACCCCTACTTACCTAATTAATGAATTTTTGCAAATTTATCAACTTTAATGTCTTTTTGACAGCTGGTATAGAGCTATACTTCTTTAAAATATTTAATTTTCTAACTGTTTGAAGTATAGTGTTTTAAACCTAAGACGCACTTGTTAATTAATTAAATTAATTTTTAATTAATACATAAAATAACTGTTACATAAAGTAACTGAGCTACAAACAAATACTTTTAATGGGAGGGATGAATCTGGTGCTTTCAAAATTGCTGATATCCGTGTTTCTAAATTTTACGTTAAGATCTTCTTAGTGACTATTCCGATCAGTTCCTCTTGTAATATGATATTTGTTTTTTCTTTCAATGAGACCATATTACTTCATTGCCTAATATGGTATTACCACAAGCAAAGCGTTCTCAAACTTAGTTTCAAAATCTGAATAAATAGTATTTAAATGTTGAACGTATGTTATAACGTCCTTTTCCTGGCAGATTGTGTGAGACAAATTGAGGAACTATGAAAATTCGGTACGTCCAATATTATACTCCTTAGCTTCATTCTGGCAAGAAACGCCGAAATTTTTTATATAAATTTAGTAAATAAATCTGTTAAATAAATAAATCTGGTATCCACTTGATTAAATTTTCTTTCAAAATAAAAGTCATGTTCTTATTTAATGAGAGTCACTATCGTAGACCCCCATTTACACCTCATGGACACCCAAATTATTTTTTCGCTGACATGGACCCTTTGTAGGTTGTCATAGACCCCTGGGGTCTATATAGACCACTTTGGGAATCACTGATCTATATCAGTGATACTCAACCTGCAGCACACCGGCTTTTCTAAGGGGGCACGGTCAAGGCCCATTTCACTAAGAAACTCCATTATTTAAGAACAATGCATTAAAAATTTAGCAGGAAATTCTACCAATCAAGCAATCACATATATCAGTTTTGCTGTTGTAGTTCTTTTTTATAGTGGAATGTAAGTAATTGGTTTTGTCGGATGGAAATCGAAATTACGATAAACTCAGTAAAAAACTCATCAGTAAATATTTTTGTGTGTGTGAGTTTGAATGTAGAGGGGTCAATATACCGTAAAATCCGGCGTATAACGCGCACCCGTAAATTTCGATCGTATTTTTTGGGTTAACACAAAAAAATACGATCGAAATTTACGGGTGCACGTTATAAGCCGGGTATAAAAATGACAGCTTCAAAAAAGGAAAAGATAAGCAGGGAAAAAATAGACTTTTACATATATTAAAATATTGTTTATTTAAGAGGAATGATATTCTTTATGAACGTAAAGGGTTGTAGATCCAGAAGTATTCTATTTTTTTTTCTATAACTTGGAATAATAACTCGAGTAAATGACTTCAAAGCTTAAGATCATTGCATACGCACATTCCAGATTTTGTGAAAAAGAAGGTGCGTGTAATACGGCGAATGTACTTACAAGTTAAAACATGTAGCTTGAAAGTATAGGTGCACATTATATGCATATACCTCGGAATTTACGGTATAATTCCGAACTCAAAACGCTTATTATCAAAAAATACAAGTAAAAATCCATATATGTATAACAAGGACCAATATTCATAAAAAATAAGCTGCGTAATTTGGTAGATAAAACATTTTTATTGATATAAATATGATACTTGACCCGTCAGTAATAAATCAATCTTTTCAAGATGTTTACATAAAACTACGTTCAAACATCTCCACTTCAAACGTAAATATTGATAAGAACAAGTAAAAATTAGAATTAAGATATACTCTTGAGTCATAAATTCGGTAAATTATGAATCAGTTTGAGCAATGCAATTCAGCCTGATGAATGTTTTTAAATTAACCCTTTCACGACGGGTGTGTCATATATGCACTAGTCTCAAACCCACTTACCTGACGGCAGGCGGTTATATGCACTTTTCCGTGGGGAAGACCAATTCTGCATAACAGTACAAAATGTAATTCACCAGTGCTTCACCCGGCTGCCGGTGACATTTGAGGGTGTATGCATATGTGACACACCCGTCTTTACAATATTTTCGGTTGATGAGTATCTCGTCGTGAAAAGGTTAATGTGTTCCGGGGTTTTATTTTTATAATGTAAATGAATGTAATTGTGAAACGGAAAATTCATGAAGAGTTATAGTTTTTCAATTCCTACTATTATCTATATATATATATATATATATATATATATATATAATATATATATATATATATATAGATTTGTCACTTTTTCCTGTTAGGAATGTAATAGTTAAAAAAGCTTTTAAATATAATAAAATGATGGGCAGATTTATCTTTAATTACAATAATAGCTCACCTTCTCTTGACATAGATGACTGTAAATGTAAGAACTATCAAGAATTTATTGATAGCTATCACAAACATGTAGTAACAGGCAATTTAAATATAGCCAGGGATGGAATTTTAAAAGATATCATGAGTAAAGGCACTAGTTTTAGATTAACAATTTCTAACAACAATAATACTGTTAAAATCAAATTAATAATGATATAAATAATTTCATTACTAAATCTGCAGTTAAATATGGTTTGCCTTTAGAGGGGCATTTGATGAATTTAAGTACAATATTTTAAAAGACCTGATGAAATTTAACTATTGTTCTAAACCAGTACTCACTTATAAAGATGTAAAACAGAAAATTTATGATTTACAAAAGAATTTTATCATTGTTTACATAGATAAAGTGCCTGGTAATTATGCTATTATCTGTAAGTATTTTTATAATACTATGATTAATGAACATTTTTTAAACAATAAATCTTTCAATAGATTGGAATTGTCAGATAAAGAAATTACTAATCGAATCACTGCTATATACAGGAAATTGAATGTTTCCATTCATAAGATTAAGTTTCCATATATATTTTTAACACATAAATTTCATAAAAATCCTGTTAAATTTAGAACAGTAACAAATGGTTTTAAAACTTATATCACTGCTGCAGGTAAAATGCTGCACAATATTTTGCAAGAATTCATCAATAAGCAATGTAATAAAGCAATAATTAAAAATAGTAAAGAAATTATAGATTTTTTTAAAGATAAAAATACTTATTCAGTTCATAGTTATGACTTTGAAGATCTTTTTAACTCTGTTGATATCAATGATGTAATTAGGTTAATTTTAGATAATCACAGAAATTATAACCTTAATACTAATTTACAAAAATTTAGAACTCTAATAAATTTTGTCCTAAAAGAAAACTACATTAGTTTTAATGGTTCTCTGTACAAACAAACCAAAGGTTTGCCTCAAGGTGGCCCTGCTAGCAATAGTTTGGCTAATTTATATTTACACTTTTACGAAAATAATTATATTATTAATAATGATTATTACATTTTTAGATACATAGATGACCTAATTATTTTTGGTAAAAATAATAATTATAATCCCAATATCAATTTTTATCCGGGATATTTAAAGCTACTTAAAATTAATAATAATCCTGTTAAAACTAATTACTTGGATGTATCATTATATATTAAGGACTATAAATTACATAGCAATATTTATGATAAAAGAGATGATTTTAATTTTAACATTCTTAAAGTTCCTTCCTGGAATTCAAACTTATCCATTTCAATATATCGGAATATTATTTTGAATTATATTTATCGTAACAAGGTATTAGTTAGTGATAAATCTAATATATATTTAAATATTAACAACTTTATTAACATTTATTAAACACAGTTACCCTCTTAAATTTATAAAAAGTTATATAACCGTTAAATAAAAAAAAAGTTTTTTCAGTTATACAGTTTATAGATAGATGGCGCCTCTAGCTAAGTAATTTTGTAATAATATATTTTATTAAAAATTAATCATTTATGTCTGGATGGTATTTTTTATTTTCTATAAATTTTTAAAATAAAATATAGAAATTTTAAAAGTATATATATATATAGTAATATTGCTACTTTATCAATACATAATAATTATATGCGTTACTGTTATTGTCCATAAGAAGCGAATATGTATTCACATGGTAAGTCTATTAGTTTGGCTTTGATTTTAAATATTTTAGTAATTATTAAAGGCTATAACATTATAGTATTACATTAATAGATTATGGTTTTATCTATAATATAGTTAAACTTCTCTAGAAATTTATTGCTTTCCCTATGGCCCAGAATACTGACAAATTCAGGTGAAGGTTGGCTGGCCAGAAAACTTTGTTTAAACCTGCATTCCTAGTTTCTAAGGCTGGGAGTTTGCTTTTAGTATTTCTGTGGCTAAATCTTTTCTATTATGACGATAGTTATCTTAGGTATATAACTATTTTTAGTATATTTTTGAAAATATAATAATATATATAAATATATATATATAAATATATATATAGTTCACTCTCTTCCTATATATATAAAAAATATCTTGTTTAAATTTTCTTGTTAATAAATACTTCCTATTTATCCATTCAAGTTCAAATACATTTTTTTAAACTTGTAGTGGATGATACTTGATGTTAATACAGTTTTTTCAAATATTAAGTAATTAATTAAATTTAAAAATGAATAAATAAAAACAAATAAAAATAATACACCAACAGCCTATATCGAAAGTAAGATATTTAAGTGTTTCTGTAGCGTAATGGATAGCACGTTGGGCTTCTAATCCAAAGGTCGTGGGTTCAAACCCCACCAGGAATGGCCTAATTTCAGCGAATATGATTTATTTTTTTACTATACTATTTTATTAGAATAATTCATTTTAATTAATGAATAAATAATAACAAACAAAAAATAGTTCAACACCATATGTAGAAAGTAAAAGGGAAAATTGCAAGGAAAATCGCTATCTATTTTGTCACCTAATATTGCGATTCTGTTATATGTATATACGTATTTATATTAGTTGTAACTATTTAATAAAAAGTAACTAAAATAAAATTTTGCGTTGTTGTCCTATGTAGGAATTGACTTAAATTTTTTCTATATTACTTGTTATAGTAGTTTTCCCTACTGACTGAAAGATTCCGTTTTGAATTAAAACAATCGCTCAAAAGGAAAATGCCAGTTCCTGTTTTTGAAATTCCATTAACAGAAATATTCTTGATTTATATTTGATTTGATTTGATTTCGTTTAATCAATTTTTTGCTAATTATTAGTTTTCCCATTTGATAAGACGAATAACTGATTCCAGATGGTTGCTTGGAATTTAGATAATGGATATTTGGTTTTTATTTTTCCCCTAAATGAAAAAAAAAAACACTATTTGTGTGTGTGGGACTGCTAAGCCGGTTTTCTTTTTCTCTTTGGAGATAAACTTACTTTAATGTCTTTCACTGCATGTAATGTATGTAATTGCTATGCTGGCATCTTCACTTATTGTTGAATGTTAATATTATTTTTCAATGAATTATAATTAATGTAGAGGGAAAACGATAATAAGATAGAACTGTCTGTGTGTGTCAAGGAAGCTTCAAAAAGCTTTATAATTTTATTTAGAAACGTATATTTATTACCAAACATCCTATGTGCACATGGATATATTTTTTTTATCGTTAATAGATTTATTCAAATGAGGTAACCACAAAAAGTGGAATAACGGATTTTTTTGTTAATTTAATAGGAAACTGGAAGGACATACAATAAATGAATTGGAGATTAATATTGAGAATATATACTATGGTAATTTACTAAGATATTTTTTATTTTAGTACTTAAATAGGATTCCAAAATTAATAACACTTTTAAAGATGGTAAAATTCTTCTATGTATGAAATTATGATATAGTCTGGCTTTTTTCTATAATTAGCAGTTTTTCACTAAGT